CTTCTCCGCTACTTTTGGCCGTATGCGCAGGTGTGGGTGCATTTTTTTGCCCGACACGCAGCTGGGTTCGGCCAATAGCGGCCTTTCTCTGCCGCTCACCATCTTGCCCGGGAGCTCATGGCCCGATCGCACTGGCGTACTTACAACTGTGGACCACCGCGAGGCGGGGGTACGCTTTGGGCTTAGGTCGATCTGGTGGTGGAGCTGGCCAAGCTCGAGCTGGAGGGCTCGCTTGACGCAACCAACAAGGACACGCCCAACTTTGAGGGCGTGACGCCGCTGATGGCAGCGACGCTCAAGGGCGACGTAGCGGCGGTGGAGGCGCTCATCGGAGTTGGGGCTTCGTTTCGGGCTGGAGATCGGCATGGGCAGACGCCACTGTATGCTGCTGCGGCGGCCGGGTGCACCGAGCTCGTCTCGCTGCTGATAGGCCAGTACCACGGGCGCGACACGCTGAGCCGGACCAAGTTTACACGGATCTCGCCGCTGCATGCAGCGTGTCTCGGTGGACACGCCGAGGTGGTGGAGCTCCTGCTTGCGACGGCGTCTGTGGACGTGACCGAGACGACCGCTACAGGAGCGACGCCGCTGCATTGCGCTGTGGTAGGCGGAAACGTGGATGTGGTGGTGCAAGTGCTTGCGGCAGGGGCAGACGCGGCGGCCAAGGCCAACTCGAGCGTTTCGCCGGCAGAGCTGGACCTGGTGGGCCTTGGGTTTAGCGGGGAGTATGTGGCGGCGGTGGCCAACGCGTTTGAGCACGCGGCCAAGACCTCGCAGCAGGCATCGATTCGGGAGGTTGTGGCGCGCAAGATGTCTGCCATTCTCAAGGACGAGACGCTGTACCTCAAGAACTGCCGAGACGTAATGGACAAGTTTGTGGCGCCGTTTACATCGTCGGAGAAAGGCTTTCCGCTCCCGCGCAACCTCACGGACAACTTTGTGGATGTGTCTGCCAAGCTGGAGGCGTTTATTGAGCTGCGTCGGGCGCTGCTCATCTCGCTCCGCAACTCGATCTTTGGTTTCGAGGGCGCCGAGTCGCTCGACCAGTACGCGCAGATTATTTCCGATGCGCTGATCAAGAACGCGGCGTTCCACACGGCGCTTCAGCGGTACGCCATGTCGATGTATACGGCGCTGGCACCGGTGACGACGACGGCGATGACCAAGGTCTCCAAGTTTCTGGACGTCTCGTACGAGCTCGCCTTTGTCGAGTCTGCGCTCCGGCTTCCTCTCGATGGTGTCAAAGTGTATCTGGAGATTTTCGAGTCGATGCGCGACGAGGCCATCACGCTCTACGACTTGCCGCCGGACTGCTCGCCGGCGTACGAGCAGATGCTCAACGACCTCGGCCAACTGCGTGCAGACATCACGCCGTTTGTGTCTAAGCTGCAGAACAAGTTTACCTGTGAACGGATCGAGTCGACCATCTCGGGCTCGTTTGACACGATTGTCGACGCTTCGCGCTCGCTCATTCTCGAGGGCTATCTCACAAAGTCACCGGGCTCGGGCTCGGGCCGCAACCAGCGGCGATACTGGTTCCTCTTTTCAGACATTCTCATCTATGCTGCGCCTGGCAAGAAAAAGGGCTACAACTATGACTTTAAGGGTCGGGTCGAGCTCATTTCGTCAGCGCTCCGCGACATTCCGGACACGGCGGTGACCAAGAACGCGTTTGAGATCATTTCTAAGCGCGGGAACTTTACCATTTACGCGCCAACGCCCGAGGAGAAGCGCAAGTGGTACACTGCGATTTCGAACACAACCAAGGCACTGCAGACGGTGACCATCAACAAGGCGCTCTCAGTCGAGCCCCTCGACCGGTCGCAGCCAGCCTCGTCATCGTCGTCTGCAGGTGATCCGATGGCGGCGACAATGGCGGCGACGCTAGCGTCAGCAGCCGCCGCAGCCGCGGCCACGCGCCAGTCACGGCGCGAAATGGACCGGTCTGCGGCACAGAACGCGGTCGACGGCGGTGTCCAGGCGGAGGAGCCAGGGTCGGCGCCGCCGGCGAGTCCAAGCCCGGCGCCGGCGTCCGGCGCCACGTCCCCGGCGCGGACGCCGTCAGCAAGCGAGTCGGGCGGGGGCGCGGGGTAGGAATTTAAG